AGCTAATAACATTCAGTATTATCAATACAAAGAGTCTCAGATCCTGCCTGTCAATCGCTTCCCTTCGATGCACTGATAGTGCCTCCGACTGGCCTCGTTAAGGTTGGCAGGTCAAGACATAAAAAGAGTTTAGTCGATATGAAAATCTTTTACCCTGCACAGACTTTTCTTTCTGATTTGGTGCATTGAGCAGTTTCATCACCCTCAGAAAAGAGTGAATCTATTCTCTTAATGTAATTTGTGGAAAATGTACCATGACAGTGTAATTATTTTGAGGGGGCCAATTTGCATTTCCTTTGCCCGGCAAGCTGAATGTTACTGTAGGTTCTAAGGCCTTAAAGATAAATGAATAATCTAGAGTATTTAAAACCCATGAAACATTTAAATGAAGTAATTTCACTTCCTAAAGGGCATAGGGAAGATGTTTCCATACATACTCAGACTCACTTTTTAAATAAACATCAGCTCTAATCACTAAGACAGAAATCCTAGTGCGAGCAGGAATATTTTCTGGATCCTTTAATGGTTCCTTAGGGGCTCCCCTCTGACTTAGATTAGATGGGATTTAGACAAAGTTGATGCTTTTACCAAAACTTGGAATTCTTTTTCATCTGTGGACATCATAAGGAGCATGGTACTGTATACGTTTCACCGATAGAATTGCTACATAAGTGTAGCAGTGTGGGGAAAATGGCGTGTGACATTTCTGTGCAGCCGGCTTTGATCAACTTTGAAGGGAAATCGATTGGAGTTGTTGCTCTGCCCCATTTTAGAAGACATCTCATCAAACCGGGTTGCAAAGGGTCTAAAGACTACAAGTGTTCATTTTTGTTCCCTTAGTGCTGCAAATTTAGTAATTGACTCTGATTTTTGGCTTCAGGCAGTAACCTAATAAGGCCATCCAAGGTTAATGATAGACCCTTTTTAGACTGGCTGAATGTCTGACACCGATATGTAGTCATGGTGAAAAACAATTATTACTTACATGAGAGACACTCGGGGCAGAAGCCTCTGACATATGAATGAAGTGTTGTTATTCTGCCTGTTATTAGCTGCTATATTTCCTTCTAGTTTGGCTTGTAAATGAGACGTAGCCTTTGGACATCGGATCAAAACGCCACAGTCGTTCAGGTGGAATCTCAGCTCCGGGTTGTGTTGCTGCTTTACAGGCATCTCTTCCCAGGAACGCCAGCGCCACAAATCTCTGTGATTTAAAATCTTTCCCGTCCAAGCAGCTGGAGTCAGCACAAGTGTCATTTGCCTTTGCCAATCTGCTGTCACGACGTCCTCTGCCAAACAATTTATCCCCACCCCGCCTGCTTTATTAGCCATAGATTATGGGTGGTCATGGACAGTGTAGAGCCTCTGCTGTCGAGGTAGCCGTATAATTGACTGTCGGGAAGCAGGGTGGATACTTATTGAGCGTAAACTACGCTGTCAGTGAAATGCTGTAGAATACATCTGTTGTATTATTTTGGCACTGAGCAGGATTTCATTTCTGTGCTTTTAGTTCATTTTGCTTTCCAGTTAGCATCTTTTTTAGTCACGCTAGCACCCCAGCTGTGGACATGGCAGTCTTCTGTTTGCATGTAGCAAGAAGTCAGAACTGAAATATTTTTTCAGAGGATTTCTCTTAAATATTTTGGATATATGCATGGTGCTGAAGTCTGGTTATCATTTGTCTTAATGTAACTGTGAGATGGAAAATTGCTATGCTATGCAAATTTTCAAAACGTGGTGTAGTATCAAGTTGTACTAGGATGGAAAACATGACAGATTTGACATCTTAATATTAGCATGTAATGTTGTTGTTTTTAAAAAAAATTTTTTAATGTATAATATGTGTCTTTTAAAATGTCACTGAGCAGTACCGAAATTCTCTTTCTCTTTTCAGAATTCTGGATCCATGGCACCTTCAGCAGGCTCCGCCCCGAACGCTCCCGTGACAGGTTACAAGCGTATGGTCATCCCAACTCAGCCTCCACTGACTGCCACCAAGAAGTCTACACCCAAACCTCAAACTCCTGGGGGAGTCTCATCTACATCACCTTCTCCTTTAAGTCCTATGGCCAAGACTCCAACCCACATGGCTCCTCAGCCGGTTCCGGCCTCCTATGCTACAGCATCAACCCCAAGCCAGCCCACCTTCAATGTCCAAGTGAGGTCGGCTCAGCCTGGACCCCAGCATCCAGCCCCTGGTGGGCACAATTTTGGCCAGCAGCCCATTCGCAGCCCCGCGCAGGTGCAGTACATGTCCGCTCAGCCTAAAGGTCCTGACTTTGCTTATGGCCCGCCACAGCCTGGCTTCTCTCCAATGGCACCGGGGCCATATCAAGAACAGCAGCATCCAGGTGCGCCACAAGTAAGTGGAATAAACTCTAGAAGACCTCAAGCAGTCCCAGCCCAAGGATACCAGCCCCCAGGCCCCAAGAAGACCTACATTACAGATGTGCCACCCAGCTTGGCTCCATACACTTCTAGTCCAACGATTCCACCAAAGGTAAGAACGTCATCATCATCATGCAGTCGTTGTTCATATTCTTGGATATGGTAGTTTGAAAAGACTTTAATCTCGTTATTGACATCAACTGGTCTAATATTTTCTGACACTTTAAGCATCTAAGTTGATAGCTTTAGGTTAACCACTGTGGCAGCACAGTGTTTTAGCGGTTAGCTCTTTTCCTCACAGCCAGAAGGTCCTGGGTTTGAAGCTGGGCAGGAGGCACCCTCGCCCCCCCTTGTTTCTGTGGGTTTTCTCTGGGAGTTCCAGTTTCTGCCATAAAAATATGCCAACACACAAAACACAAAAGCATTTCTCATTCTAAAGAGTTTCACTTCCTGTTTAATAAGTAGAGTTGCCTTTGAGAATTGTAAGGCATTTTTACGCTCAGCTGGGATGTTTAATCCCTCCAATGTGTTCTAGGTTTGTCCTGCAGCGTTAGGGTTAGATGTCCCTCGAGTTCCTGACTTGGAGGTGTCCTTACTGGATGCTTGAACCACCTCAGTTTGCATTTGTCAAACGCATAGTTGCTCCTCTTGAAACCTCTGTGAACCTCTAAAGATATATCAAAAATGGGAAGAAAAGATTTCAGTCACTTAAATGAGAAATTGTGCTCTTTGAGTCACCAGGTGCCAATGGTTTAAAGTTGCAAAATCAAAAGATAAATCAAGAGCTCTGGTTATCTCTTAGATCACCTCATCATTCATTCCTCCCGTTGAAGTCGTCCTCCATTTTGTTGTCACGAAAATGACCCACAGGTATTTAAACTGCTTTGCTTTGGTCAGCAGCTCACTGACAGAACCTTTAGAAAGTGTTCACCCACATCCACTGAGCCTTGCAGGTCACAGCTAGACAGCAAGAGTCTGAAAAACACAGCCTGGTCTCATTCTCTCTCTGTTGTAGCTTTCCAGTTATGTTTTATACAATTTAATAAAGGCAAAAACAGTGGGTGTGCAACGGTGCAGATCTCCGTACTGTAAACATCACTGTTATTTGTGTATTCATATTTGTGTGGAAGGTATGCATACATTCGTGCAACATTATTTGCCAAAGCAGTATGAAGCCATCTTTCATTGAAATTCTCTGAATAAAGTTATTTAAACCTGAACCTGTTGGGCTTTACACCATAATAGACAACTTGTACTAGTGTACTTCAACAGTGTATCTACCAGCTGTGTTTTGTAAACCTAAGCTTGTACTTCACTGTAATAGTTATTTTTCCAGTTATTTGTGCCCAGCTGGAATGTGAATGTGTCAGTATGTAGTTTCCAAACATGTGCATGTGGTTAGGAGCTATTGTATGACTGTCCTTCAAGCTAAGAGCTTTTAAAAAACAGTCGAACATGGAAATCTTTAGACTGAATGATGATACGTGATATACATTTTTGTATTTTTTATTAAGCCAACCTGTGGTACGGTGCAATCACTTTCTAGATTAACCTGTTTTATTTCAGTGCAAAAAATGTTGTTTTCTCAGCCAAGAACTGCTGTGCTTTTCAGAAAACTCAGTAAAATTATTCTACATATTTCTTTCTGATGTTTATGATGAAAACCTTTTCACTGGCTAAATCATTTGGTTTTGCGGGGCCTTCAGATCCAGGTTCAAATCCATAGTCAGTGTGTTACTTGCAGTAGAAGACTGTAGGCAAGAAATAAATGTTGGTTTACTTGGACGCTTTATTTGGAGCATTTTCCCCACTTTACCTGCCTTCAGACAGGTCTTTTCCACAGGGAACTGAAGTTGTTACACTCCACCACACTCGACTGACCAAAACACTGTTTTACTTCACAAAACACAGGAGTTGTCTGTTTACCGTTGCCTCAGTTGGTTAGTTTGTTTTACTGCGTGAGTTCAGTGTTTAATGGGTTGATTCCAGCCATCTAACTGTCCAAACATCCATCCATGGGCAGCAGTCCAAATCCCAGATCTCCCCGGCCACCTACTCCCCACCTGCCGAGGGGGGGCATCAAAGTGTTCCCAAGCCAGCTGACTGAGGTAATCTTTCCAGTGTTTCCAGGACCTGCTCTGTCCCTCTTCCCAGCAGAAAATATCCAAAACATCTCACCTAGGAGGTGCTCAGGAGGCGTGCTGCTTAGATGCACCAACCGTCTCAACTGGCTCCTTTCAATGTGGAGTATTAGTAATTCTACTCTGAGCCACTGTTATGAATGACTAAGTTCGTCACCCTGATGGAGGAAATTCATTTCTGCCAATTGTATCCACACCTCATTCTCTCAGTCATAACCCAGAGCTTGTGGCCATAGGTGAGGGTAGGAATCCAGATTGATATCTGCACCAATATATCTCCTATCACCAATATAGTAGACTATCGTGGCTCAAGAGTTGAGCGTTCGTCTTGTAATCGGAAGGTTGCCGGTTCGAGCCCCGGCTCCGACAGTCTCGGTCGTTGTGTCCTTGGGCAAGACACTTCACCCGTTGCCTACTGGTGGTGGTCAGAGGGCCCGGTGGGCAGCCTCGCCTCTGTCAGTGTGCCCCAGGGCGGCTGTGGCTACACTGTAGCTTGCCATCACCAGTGTGTGAATGTGTGTGTGTGAATGGGTGGATGACTGGTTGTGTAAAGCGCTTTGGGGTCAAGTAAAGCGCTATAGAAATACAGACCATTTACCATTTTAGTGTATGGATGTAGGTTTCTGGGTCAGCATTTTGAAGTCTCAGTTTTAGTTTTTTGGCAATGTTGTTTTATTTGTTTATTTGCTTATTTTGAGCCAGAAGTAGCCATATCTTCGAGGTTATTGTCTGACTCTAGTTTGGCTTGCATCCATAAAATTTCCAGGTGAAGCACAGACACAGATATGGGCTAATTAAATTGAGTAAAATTAAAATAAACAGTTAGAATTTCATTGACCAAAAGTGGACTTGACTGTCTGTTAGTAGAATAAACATTTAGAAAGCTCCATTAAAAATGCTTTGAAAGGTTCCAACAGCTCAGACAGAGTGGAGAGGTCCAGCTCAGTGACTCCAGTTAAGGTGAAGACTAACGGGTAGCCATCTGCTCAATCACCATCAATTCCGATGAGTTATGAACAGAGACACTATCCAGAGAGACCAAAAAAAACATTTTTATACCAGAATCTAAATGTTTGTTAATGCTCTGAAATCAGGCATTTTAATGCAGAAGCCTATGAGCACGTGTCTCTGTCTGCAAGAGACTCTCACCCAACAAGACCTAGAATTGGCTCTAGCCCCCCACAACCTTGGCTTGCTTAAATAGAAAGCAATGGATGGATGAACAGAAATGAATAAATAATATTTTAAAGGGAACAAGCAGACAATATAGTAAAAAACACAAGGCAAAGAATTAGTACTAAACCTTTTTATAGATCTGTACATGACTGAAAAGAATAAAAACCCTCTGTTGTCCCATAGACTCTATGCCACAGAGACAAGCTATTCTAATCTCAACATATCCAGCCTTCGACAATCTCTGGAAAGTGGAAGACCCTTGAGTTTTCTTTAATTCAAGGATTTTATGATGGTTGAAAATACAAACTGGGCCTCCCAGCCTCTGGGAATAGCTCATCAAGGACTGTACTTTACTAAATACAAATTAGATTCAGCATTGCAGCAAGTATTTTAAAAATAAGTCTAATTATATTTGTTCAAAACAAAAGTCTACACTTTGCTTGAAAAGCTCACTGCGGTCCCAGTATGATGCATTATTAAAAAACAAAAGGTGGCGTTTATTACATTTGCGAGCATCTCTTTGATTTCAGATAAAAGCGAATCACTAATTTTACAGATATAGCTTGTGCAATGTATGTATATATTTGTCTTTCTTTCCCAAGGATATTCTGCAGCAGGATAATGGGCTGTGAGCCACCCCTCACCCCCACTCCTCCTGCTGTATTTGGATGCTGTGAAACACATCAGGAAACTTTAATACTCCATATCCATGAATGAGCTGTAAATGAGTGATCAAATCTGAGCCGAACCTCCTCTAAAACATGTGCATCCAAACCTTTAATCTAATCATTTTGTTTTCTCACTTGTGTCCAGAATAGCAGCGTTTTAATGCCAAAGCAGAGCAGGGACATCACAAAAGGCAGATTAGAATGAAAGCAGACTCTGTCAACTTTGCCTTTATGATCATCTCTCTGCTTGACCCAGTGTCGTGACATGTTTATAACCTTATACAAACAGTCATAAATCGACTTAAAGTTAGTCTTTTAATCTGTTGTGTAAATAACCCAAAGCCCAGTCATAGAAAATGAACTATTTACATTTTTTGTCATAATTATCAAAAGCCATCTGAAGTCACTGAGAGCTAATGGTGATTTTATGCAACCCGGGACTTTCTCAGTAGGGGGTCTGTGACTTTGATTGAGGACTTTATTAAAGAGATCATTTTGCATAATTGAGGGTATTCATAGAAGGTCAGTTTCATCAGAAGTCGAAGAGAAAATCCTTGGATGAAATTCTATGATCTAGACTAGTTCTGATTAGCTCGTCTGCTCTGCCCCTGGCGTCACCCCACGTCACCCTCAGCTTGCCTACGCCCAATCTCCCAACGTACCCTTACTCACCCGTAAAGTGAAGGTGTGAGAAGAGCTCCTCGCATCAACACACTTCAACGGTGCTTAATTACCTAAATCCACTAGTGTTTGATCTCAAACAGATTTCATGGCTGCCGGTTAATGTACCATTTTCCGCGATTCTCTCAGTGTTTCCAGTTGTTGGAGCAAAGCTGAGCTGGATGATGCCCTGTGTTTTTGCTAAGCTTGAGTGACGTTTGACAGGAGAGGATTATTTTGCACTGCTCAGTCCCCATAGCCAGTTAAAGCCCCCTCGAAGGTCAATGATGGTTTCAACTGTCAAACATGTTTAAAGAGCTTGACGTATTTCTGCCTTCCAGTTCTGGCCACGTTGGCTTTTGACCTGGCCGACAACATTTGCATATGGTGCCATCAGGACATGTCCAGAGAAACCTTTATAGCCGTGTAATTGGGTACGAATCATCTCCCAAAACTGTGCTTTTAAC